GGGAGCCCACGGCGGTGTTCTGGGGGAAGGAGCTGAGGATGGGTCCGGGCAGGGTCACCACCACGGGAGATGGTTCGATAATCACTCGGGAGTCCTGGCACTGCCTGACGCAGGGCTCGTTGCAGCTGTTGGCAAGGGGGGTTGGCCCACAGGGACGGCACAGGTCATAGCAGGACATGGCTGTGGGATGGAGGGGTACCTGGGAGAGAGGGCAGGGAAAGCAGAGGCATCGTGTGAGGCACAGCCTGACAGCCTGCTTGGCAAGAGCAAAGGCACAGGCTGGGGAGCATGGACAGCCAGTGTCCGGAGGAAGAGAGGCTAAAGAGTCCTGGTCCACAAGGGTGTTTTATAAGAAAGGCCAAGGCCTTCTGCCATCTCTCATGGTGCTGGTAGTGAACTGAGAGTCTGCAACACGACAAAGTAGCAAGGGTCTCAGCAAAATTTACATCAAGATTGGAGAGAAAGAGAAAAAGAACGAAGAGGAGATACCAATGAAGAGGCTTGCTACTTACCTTGTTCACCAAGGAGGAGAAGGCAAGAGAAGTGGATGAGGGTGCTGCAGTTGGACGGGCTTTTGTAGTGCTCCAGACCGCCCCGGGCCCAGAGCCACCCTTGGCACATGTCAGGTGTTTACCAACACGCTCATCTTGTATAGAAAGCACTCCCTACTACTGAAGGAGGCTTTCATTTGGTACTTGCCATGCTCCCTACCCATTTCCTTGCTAATGGCATGCCCATTCCACCCTACAGCATTGTTGTATGTGACATAATTAGAGATCAAATTAATTTCATGTATAGCACTGTTGATTCACGTAATTCAGACATTTATGGTGATCTGCTTGGAAAGCAATGCATTTTTCCTCCTCTGTCATTTTAGTCACTGGCTTGTCTTTCAGAGGGTCGTTTGCAAATTAGAATAATATGAGGTTCATCTTAGACAGTTACATAATGTGAAAATTTACAAGTTTTGCACAAATATACTTCTAGGTATTTTTCTCTGTGTTTTAGGATTGTACCACTTATCTAGTTTGAATCTCTCGTTGAGAGTGAAATGTTTCTTTAGATAAACGCCGAATTAGGTCACACACACTGCAAAGTCAAAAATTTTTAGTTAGTCCGTCAAGGTTAACCATTTTATTTCAGAAACCACATCATGGTTTATACCTTATTGTGTCGTTATCTTCTTATTTTGTAGAATCTCCAACTACTTTTAATTCCCAACACACAACATGGTACCATCAGAATGTTTAAAAAAGTGTGGTTTTAAGCCAACTTAACACTTCAAGTCATTTTTATAAATAATTTGCCCCTTGACCTGCAGAGCAATTTCTGTAAAGACTAGAAAAGTGTTTTGTCCTTCCTTTCCTCCAATAGTAAGCTGAGGTCTGTTTGAAGGATATCTTATGATTTCACATGGAGTCAGAACATGGAGCAACTGCTTGTAAGGAGAATCCTTTCCTGACATCAGTCAGACTGAGAATTATCTCACCAAGCTGAGACTGAAAACTGTCAGACTTTATGGGCTCATGTTCGAACTGTGCAAGGAAAATGAGTCAGACAGGTCAGCTGTTTCTACCTGGCCAGATACTGAACTGCACATTCAAGATATCAATGAAAATCCATTGTGCAACATCAGACTGTCCAGATACCTATGAAGTGCAGAAAAAACTCTTCTCACAACAGGACTTTGAATCATCCATGTACTGACAGCAGTGTGGAATGTGATAGTACCAGACACAAAAGCATCCCATTAAGTGTTTGAGATGAAACTCAATGGGAAAAGTGCTGCAGATGTTAGGAGATGCTGACTTAGGAATTTAGCACAGCAAATTGGTGGGTTTTTTAAAGTAAACCAGAACCATTCTACAAAGCATTTCTCAGTGGAAACATACTGTTCAGAGTCTGATGTTGGATATGGACAAGTTGTTTCCCTGGTCTAATTAGGGGTGTAATATGCTAAGGTTTTATGTACTAGCATAACAATTTAGTATCCAGAGCATCTACTTAGAGTATTCAGACGACTCTGCTGTAGGAAAGAAATCAAAGCAATTGAGAACACATGAGACGATGACACCCACGCAATTGCTTGGACACGTACTTTCAGTTGATTTATTACTGTACCCAAACACAGAAAACCAAATGCTTAATTCAGGTGGTGTAGCAAACAATCATTATACTACGTTCAAATAATTTGAGTTGGTAATTTTGGCTAACCAAATGAAGAAAAATTAACAAAGTCCGAAGCTTGAATTTTTACACCATTGCCTGAAACATTTCTGAAGAGAGAAATGTTTCATTTAATTCATTAAAACAGAGCCTAATACATCACAACCACAGCAAAACAAGAATTAAACCGACTGTGAGGGCATAAAATTATCTACCCGGCAGAGTTCCTACAATACATCACACTCAGATTTGTGATTTTACTTTTATTATTTTAAGAATTCAGTTCAGAGAAAAAATAGATTCATTAGGAATGCATCCTGTAGTAATCATTGAAGTGGAATAAGTGATCAGTTCCAGGATTAATGGAAAAGTTTTTATAAAATATTCTTTAATTCAAAAAAGTATATTTCATTTAAAGTTTTCTACCTAGCAATATCAGAATCTTGATCTTTCATTTACCTCCATTACATGTTTAGAAGCCACTGAGGTGTGTCTGTCTGCAGATCCCTAGGGCTGTAGAACAATACTCAGGCTTCTCCTTTGGCTTCTTTAAAGGAAAGAACTTCAAAGTTAGTCCCAAATATTCATTAATGGTTGAGACAAACAAAGTGTATATGCTACGTAAATATTGCAAGTATACGACAAAATTTAAATAGTTATGTCACTTGGATAATAACGTCACTTTAAATTTGAGAGTCATGATTACTCCCTAAGCAGGCAACATTTAACAGCTTCAGAAACCAGGGTTATTAATTTTTTCATTAAAAAAAGTAGTTTTGTGTGTGTCATAATAATAACCTTTTGTAAAACTTCTCGAGCAGACCCACAGCTACTCTAAATTCTTATGACTATACAACGCAGCAGCACTGGACAACAAAATAAAGTGGGAATATGGGTTTTTGGAAATCACTCACACAAACAACCCACTTTCTCAAGCACTAGCCTGCCGCCACAAACCCTGTGCCTGTCCCTGTTTTTACCACAAAAATGTGGTTTATACAAAGCCTAAGTTACTGCTTCTCTCCCTTTGTTTTTCACAGCACATCCTTCTCATTGAAAAATAATTTCCTCAGCTCTACTAGGAGAAGACCAAGTTGCCTACCTGCAGAGCTAGAGCTGTACATCTGCTCCAGATTCAGAGCAAAAATTCACATCCAGTGACCCCACTGTAAGTGGGCTCCTTTAGGCTAGACCAGGAAAGGTCTGAGACTTGCCTTGACACTTTATTGCACTGAAAAGCCTGGTATAGTGTAACCACTTCTATTTCAATGTGCTGTCTAGACAGAAATTGGTATTTTGTTTCTTATTCTTTAGAAAAGGACATTTCTGACCACCTTAAGCCTTTCTGATAGATCAAGTGTCATTCTGCACTCAAGCTTTGGTTGGTCCTTGGGTTGCTTATTTGACTATCAACTCTGATTAAAGGGTCTGCCAGTAAGAATTAGGGTGAAAAGCTGCAGCCACCAGGGATGACAAAGACTCATTTTGTCCCCACGTAGCTCGTCTTCGGGCTGTTGTGTCAAAAGCTGTCACTGTCAGCCCACAGGATGAGCTAGTCAGGGAAAGTCTCTCACGTAACCTAAGACCTGCCCTTCCCTACAGATAGATCTCCTGTCTGGAGTTGTTTACCTGCTTCTTGTTTGCTTCTGTAATAGAGCAGTAAAAATTTTTCTCCATAAATCCTTCCTAAATTATGAGGTGTGTTGGAGGGATCCCTAGGGCAATAACTCTTATCAGGAAGCTCTGCATCCTCCTCGGATCAAATGTCATATCACAAGTATTCATTAATGATTTATATATGCCGAGTGCTGTGTTATTATACTTAAAGTGTGGTATTGGCTTCAGACACCCATGAATTGAGTAATAATATCGCTTTAAGATAAACAGATCAAAGTCACGTATGTCATTCCACTAATCAGCTCGCAATCAGGTCATGGGTCCTGGCCTCGTACTGCTTTTCTTCATTCCCTACAGTGCATTCATATTAGATTCCACTCCCCCCTTATAGTCTCGAGTGACCCTGGAAGCCAGTAGACGTAAGTAAACTCCATTCCATGGGTTTGTATGTCATTGCAATGATTTCTACCATGAAGAGTAAAGCCATATAATTTTAACCATTTTTTTTTCTCAGGATAAAAGTCATCTCAGTGACAGATGATTTTCCCTTTCTGTGAGTTTATTTCAAGAGCCAGCCCCTCGTCAATGGCACAACTGTTAGCGTTTTTAGTAGGCTGCTTGTCATCTGTCTGATGCTCTTGTTCCCCAGTCATCTTTCTCCTCAAATTATATTTAGCTGTAGTGCTCGTAAAGGCAGAAGACAGATGGGCTAGGGGCTGGAGCGCACTGCTAGGAAAGCATAAACAGACTTTTAAAACTACTAGTTAGTTCTGGTTTCAAATTTGGAACAGCTCTGAGATGTCTCATTTTTAAGGCAAATGATTTCTAAAAATCTGTATCCTTTGAAGCATCGTAGCTTTGGCAACCAAAATCTCATCATTTTCCAGTGGGAGTGAACCTCAGCTTTCGCTGTAAAGCAGGAGTGGTTTGGGGGACTTCTTTTTAATTCTGTCTCCCTGGATGTCTCTGACAGCTCACCCAGCTCCAAAGCCAGAGTCCTGGGCCTCTCAGAGGAGGGATTACAGGGAACCACTAAGCTTGCTGTGACCCAGTACCAAAGATCATGGCTATTCCTTTAGTGACCTCTGTCGCTGGCCGTACCGAAGGAATCTGTATACTTAGGGAGAGTGAGTTCACATTTCCTGGTACACAGGGAGAAGGATATATCTTAATTTTAGCACTCCTATACTCCAAAGAAGCTGGATCCCACCCTCAGACAGCTGGCATAATTTTGCAGCAGACAGTCTGAGCAATCAGCTGTTTGGACAATGTTGATGAGCAGCGAAGTGGACTCTCTCTCTCTCCCCTAATACTAGGATCATATTTGTAGCTGGGTGTAAAAAAACTCCCTGTGCAGGTTTAATGTATGATCTGCTGTAACTGTGCAAGTAAATC